GCCCTTCCTTACTTGTTTTCTATATTTTATTTATATTTTTTAATTACTAAATCCATTTTGTAGTTACCGTTCATTTACCTTCTTATTACCTTTTTACACAAAGTTGTTGTATAAGCAAACTTTATAACTTGAAGTGTGCAATCCATGGAGCTTTTGTTGAAAGATTTATAAACCTTTGGCAGCGGAGCCAAAAGTTGCAAATTGCATTTTATGCATTTTTGTGGCCGAATATTGGAAAATGTCTCTTAACATTTATTTATAACTAAACAATAACAATAAACAATTGGAACAAAAATGTCATAAATAAGACAAATAAATAATTACAATAACAACTGCCGCCTGCAGAGTTGCAATTTAAATGCAAAACGAAAAAAAACAAATCGTAAGAAATTGTGTGATCGTCTTTGCAAGCAGTAAAAAATGTTCAAACAAGGCTGCGGCTTGGCGTCTTGAGTATTTATAGCGAACAAGACACAGACGCAGAAGGCTGCTTGGCGWCGACACTGAACTCTTCCAACCACTTATTTATATATTTTTTGGACATTTCATGCAACCAAGTTGGCAAGTGGTGAAGCGGCTTTTGCTTTATTTTTATTTTAGGCAAACTCTAGTAAAAATAAATCTTTTATTTTTGGTTTGGATTGTAGTTTTATTTGACTTAGTTAGGATGAGCCAATTAAGGTCAATTATGCCAAGTTTTTTCGATAAGTTTGTATGATTTTGTAGATGATTTGTTCATGTCACTCTCATAGAAACGATAGAAATACACGACCCTATTGGTAAGACACTGGAACAGTCGTACGTTTCGCAAAGAAAATCATTTGACATGGACAACGAGAGGCTATGAGCGCCAATTCTAAAGTATGAGGTTTACACGGACAAGTGAGAATCCCCTARCACAGTTTCTAGAGCTGCTGGCGAGTAACTATCAATGTTTGTTGGCTGGCAGTGAGCTGATGGAACACAATTCTTATATTACAAMCTCATGTTCTCTGCTTCTGAGCTCTTCTTTCCTTAATACCAAGTGAAATAATGTGATCCACGTCCACGTAGATGAAACSTAGGGCCTTGAGTCTYCTTCTACAAATTGCTTGGTAATCCAGAATCAGGTGTTCTGGAGTTTCCTGTTCCATATCGCAGAACTGACGGTTTATGCAAGAGACTATGTCCATGTTGGWCAAGTGTCTCCTGAGCCTTCAAAGATTGATTTCTGCACACTGACTTATAGCAAACCCTTCCGCTTGAAAGATGCTCGGATAATGTACCACTGGTATGCACAGTTTGSTCTGCGGTCCGGCAATGTCTGCTACAATGCTTTCCTGTGTTTTCGAGCCATCAGTGCACCACTACATAGTAAGTCAGACGCGCATAGAAACACTCCACTTWGCATTACTGCCGTTARTAACTCTGAACTTCTTTGTAAAGTTAACCCTCTTCGCAACGCCGTCTCTTGGAAGRAGGGCCAGTGGTGTGTCTTCCCTTAGGGTCTTCATTTGTTGAGACGACATTAACTTAAGTTTGCCAAAACCATTTGCTGCCATCAGCTCCACGGTATGTTTAGCTACCCTGCTTGATAACTACTTAGATGCAACATTGTGAGCTCCAGCACGGCTTCAAGTGCTGCGGTTGGCCAAGTCCGCATTTCCCCTGACGCGCAGACGCAGGCTTGTAGAAAAGCCTTTGCAGTTTCAATAGTTAAAGGCCTACCAAAGACTACGTTGCCTTAGATGCCCAARCAAMCGCTCCATAAGTGACAATAGGCCTTACAGTCGTGGCGTAYAGCCAGCATATGACACCTGGCTTGCAGCCCCAGAATCTACGGGCTAGGCGTCTGCATATCATGCCTTAGTGGCCTTAGTGCCTTAGTGGCTTTGCACAGTGTTAAATCCACATGCCTACTCCACCGTAAGATTGAGTCTAATGTGAGGCTTTGGAATTTTACCTCTTTCGATCCCTCCAAATCTCTACCAGCGGTTGTTAGGAGCCTCCAGCCAGGATCAAGATATTCGCTTTGTAAAAGCAGCAACGGTTGTTTTTGACGGGTTAATATAACCCTGCCGTATTGCACCATCTCCATTGAAACATCTCCTCGATAAACTTAAGCCCCGTAGAACTATGTCGCATAGAGTGTTCCAAATTTAACTCACGCCATTATGGCAATGTTATCGGCGTACACCTGGTATCGATTCCCATTGTTAGTGAGCAACTATAGGAGCTCATCTACTGCTAGCTTCCAAAGCAGGGGGATAGTGTAGACCTAACACTCGTAAGCACCGAACTGAACTTATTGTTTCCTATCCTGTTTTTCATTTTAAAGTTCAACAACATTCAGCAATAACATATTTYAAACGTCATCCATTCGTTATGTCCACAAGCCAATGCTCTCATTTTAATCAACAAAAATCCCATATATCATCATATTTTTTGTTTACTCGTCCTGTGTTTTTTATTTTTTCCAAAACATACGCGAGCACGCTCGGCCACTGTACCAATTATGTTATTGATTTATATGCTAAAACTAACATCCGCCAAATATAAATCTATTACAACAATACTCATAAATATAATATATGGAATATTACTTGAACTTTATTGCTGACTGCAACAAWTTCTTTTTATTTATCTACTCTTCCACTATTACAACTGACACTCGTTTCTGTTTTGCTCTTTTTGCACTTCCTTTCGGCAGCACTGCAATGGACCTAAAAGCCGGTGGACTACTCGTGCCGCCAACTGTTAAGAATTCAAGCTGCTCGCATCCACGTTACACCAGCCACAATTTCATTGCACACATCGGCATTGCGGAGACCATCGAAGCGGTGCTCATACTCATWTTGACGCTGGGCGTGATTGGTGCCAATGCGCTGGTCATATTTGTAATAAACAATCGTCGCTATTCGCCCTACATACATCAGCAGGTGAGTGAGTGAGCGAATGTTGCGCTGTAAAGGGAATATAACAGCGACTGTTAGTAGCAAGAAAAATTCGATTGAGTGGAGGGGAGCTGTAGTTCAAAATCAGATAAAATTATGACAAGTGAGAGTAGGAGATTTATGGTTGGTTAGTTAAGATTTCTGTTATTAAAAATATAGCGAAAAGTATTTGTTCACAAATCTTAATACAATTTAATTAAATTAACARAGAGTGAGGAGTGGAAGTGAGCGAGTTAACATGAACTAATGCTGAAATGATGCTGAGTCCTTATGCCAATATGATAAACAAACATTACCTAGTGTCTTTAAGATATGCTCAMCTTCATTGAAACCTTGACTATTAAAAAAAATTAACTCTACTTGAATTACTTTATATAAACAGGATGTTTCACCGACCTCATCTCTGTCATATTTAGACACTGCCACTTTTCATCCAAGAATCTATGTTAAGTCTTCCACAATACCAAAAATAATTCTAACTTCTTGGTAACATCATTTTAAAAAGGCCGCCACTTAGTCAATCAAGAAATATCCATCACTAATATTACATCAGTTTCTTGGGAATKCGGTACAAATATCGAGGTTTTAATACCATGTTGCTATTATTGTTGTTGCAGTGGCAGAATTGGGTTGAGTTGACAGTCCTTGGCCGGATAAAAATTCTGGTTATGGTTATGTAGACCTGGCTGTTCAACACAATTTCTCAGTTGGCTTTATATCCATTATATTAGACCTTTKCTTGAATCAAAGTTCCTACACTTTTTCGTAGAGTYAGCTGTTCAATCTGTATCGTCTCTSTTCTTTTCAAAAGTCTGCGAAATTAGGTCGTTTATAGTCGATGTTTATAGTCATTTACCATTAACTTAGGTTTGCGTAGAACAATGGCTTTGCATTTTTCTAATGATTCCTCTTCTGTCCGTCTGTCGTTGTGTAATGTACTCCTGTCTCCGCACTTTGTATCAGTTGCTCTTTATGAACCCCGTGATTATCTATGCAAGCAGGTAGGCCATGCAAGGGTTGACCCAAGTCCCTTTGCGAACTTATGCTCAGAGCCAGGTGCGGACACGAAKCAGGAACCTGTCTCAAYTGAAYCTGTACRKCCAAAAAATTATGGARGCATCCATTGAACGTATTTGTAGACCTGTTAGGRATTCAATGAGTTGGAGAGGAGAACATCATTTCGATAATATGTCACTCTTACCTACTTAGATGATGGAATTCTGCTCTCACTAGCCTATTTAAGACGGCA